CTTCTAAAATATGTAACTTTCGCATATGAGCTTTGTTTTTGAAGTTCTTTATATCCACGCATAGGTAAAAATAAAATCTACAACTTTCATTTTTACCCCATCGGCTAATTCTGTACCGATCTTAAATCTAACAGTAGGAGGAGATTATACTGTTAAATGACCGTGTAAAATTCATAACTTCTTCATACAGACTCCATTTTCGTCTGTCTTTTTATCGTTGAGTTCTTATTAATGAGATCTTCAACTCTCATTTAGGTCGTGTTGGCCGAAACCGCTCGATCTAAAATTCGAGTTTCGGGCTGTGCACTACTAAGCCAAATCTTAGAAAAATCATAACTTCCTCATACAAAGTCAGATTTGGGCGTTCTTTTTATGCACACTCTCAGTTTAACATACACTACAACTTTTGTTTAGATTGCTAAGGCTAAAAAGTCTTCTATCGTAAATTCCCTATTTACGTTTCCCGGTGTCGTGTCGATTTCGCCGTAAAACTTCGACAGATCATAACTTCTTCGTTATAACTCGGATTTCGGCGTTCTTTATATACCCGTAATCCTTTTTTTTTTCAACCACTACAACTTTATGTATAGATATCGGGTTTATCTCACACTTTAATTTTGATGCTTATTTTTATCATTTATTTGCTATACTTTTATAATTAAGTATAAAGCACATAAATTCACATAATTCACATAATACTCAAATAATTCATCTTTAATATTTCAAAATGAGTTAAATTGGTTGACCTGGACTATTACATCATCCACTAATGCTTAGTCCAGAAACACGGGTGTTACATACACCGGAAATTACTACAACCGGCGTGTACGAGGAAAAAACTTCCAGGTAGGAGACGAGTCCATAATAAGGGGACCATTTCCGACAACCTCTTAGGAAGTTCACTATTCCTAAGAGATGGATATATATATATATATATATATATATATATATATATATATATATATATAATAAATAAATAAATAAATAAATATTATATATTATAATATATTACAAATTAATAAAAAAAACCTCCCAAAAATTTAAAAAAAATAGAACTTTCCAAAGTAACAACGAAATACCGATAGATAATAGATTATATTATTTTAATTTCATCGGTAATTTCCAATGAATAACCGATGAAATGCAATATGTCGTTAAATTATAGAACTTGATAGATTTGAAGTTGTAACTATACATCAAAATAAGATGCTTACATTTTTTTAGCTACAAATGATGTAACATTTAATATCCAATGACAAGGTTATTAATCAATAATGAGTTGATTTGTGAAAAATTAAGTGAGCAACAAACAAGGTTATTAATCAATAATGAGTTGATTTGTGAAAAATTAAGTGAGCAACAAACTGAGGTTGAAAAGTGAAGATGGTATGTGGACCAGGCGAATATGATGGAGAAAGCCCAAAATGTGAAGTGTGATAAAATCATAACAAGATTTATTTTTGCTTCCATCATAGCAAAATTTATCTAATACAGACACAAGTACCCCCTCCGAAAGGAAAATATATTGATTTCCCCTTCATTACTTTTGACACACCTTAAGAGAATCTTTATGGGTTAAACTCCTTCATATCATTGTCGTAGATATCGGGGTCATAATGTGAAAGCATTGTGAGCAGTTGGATTAGTGATCCCGCTGGTAAAGTTATGTTTCCTAATATTATTTCTTTGTGAATCATCTGTGTCATTGCTACTATCGGAGGGTATAATCTAAGAACCTCGAGGAAGATTGAATTAATATGCAAATAGATAAACTGAAGCTTAATAATTGGAAATATATTAAGAAAATGAAGGAAAAAAAGAACTTACAATTTTCAACTAATTCAACACATCGGTATCATGTTTTTTCCACCCAAGACCTATAAAGCTTCATCTCTCACACGCTCTTGACAATTTTTATGTTGAGCCAACAAAATCATAGTCCGAACAAGTAAAGTCATGGTAGTCTCCTGGCACGCAAAGTAAAAAAGCTTACACTCTTTAATGACAACATCAATACTTTGTCTAAATTTGTTATTTATATGTTGTTTAATGTAACGCCCGGATTCTTGGTACACATTTTAAATAAAGCTTATTTATCTTTATGAAGGGACTCGACGAGTTAGAGGCCCCAAACTCGTCGAGTAGGAATGGTTTTGGACGCGGGTGGCAAAGTCTACTCGACGAGTTGGGGAGCCCCGACTCGACGAGTAGGACTATCAGAGTGAAACCCTAATTTTTAGGGTTTGCATCCTATTTAAACACCTTAAGTGGCTTCTACTCCAGCCTCCATCACCTCCAAACCTCTTCACAAAACCCTAATCAATTTTTGAGTGTTTTTGAGCTTTTTGTGCTATTTTTTGTGACTTGAAGCTTAGAGAAGGAAGGAAGGACTTGAAGACTCAAGAAAAAGATAGTGGATCCACAGCTTGGGTTTCATTTCTAACTTATTTGAGGTATAAAGCTTATACCTTGGCTTTCCATCACTTAGATCTTCTCTAGGGTTGTATATTGTCATTTTTAGGGCATTTCAAGGTCACTTTCGGGTTTAGAGTGCATATTAGAATGATGACTTTAGATCTGGGAGCATTTGAGCTCAGGAAGCTTAAAGTTGCCACCTTTATTGAGCTATGGCCTTATCCCATCCACTAGAACTCTTTTATGGCTTAGTTTTGGTGTTCTAGCTTCATAACACCATGCATGCACGTAAAGTTAGCAACTTTATGTGTTATGCTAGCCTTAGGACACCCGATCTATGGAGTACAAGCATTGAACTCGAGTAAAATCAAATGTATGGACTTAACATATGGGGGACTCGATGAGTTGTTTATGCGACTCGGCGAGTCGGGTCGTGGTCCTCAACCTTTTTTGGTTCTGAGTGAACTCGTTGAGTCGAGGAGATGACTCAGCGAGTTGGACATGGTTTTTGGACTTGAAGGTCAAAGAACTTGACAAGTCCAAGGAGGAACTCGATGAGTTGTGAACAAATGTCTCAATTCTGTAAAGGTGGGACTTGACGAGTCTAAGGAGGGACTCGACGAGCTGAATTAAAAAGTCCCGATACTATTGATAGGAGAAACTTGACGAGTGTGGAAGAACTCGTCGAGTTGGTTCGTGATTTCAGAAAGTTCTAGTATATGGAACTCAATGAGTTGATGGGCGAACTTTGCGAGTCGAGTCAACTAGAGTGTTGATTTTGACCAGCATGTTGACCTTCACTTGACTTTGACCTGAGGTTACCCTTGGAAGGGTTATGAGTATGGTAGAGTGATTGGAAGAAATTGTTATGTGTAGGAGTTTGAGAGGAGTAAATCCCCAGCACTGAGGAGAGTTCAGTTACTACGCGACATTGAGGTGAGTTACCTTCCAGTAGAAGTAAGCCAATGGCCACAATGCCGACCCACTAGTAGGAGTTGTATGTGGATGATTGTCTTTCTGATAATTGTCTGGTTTTCCACTGTCTGTGTGTTTATGTGTTAGCATATGATATGTTATGTGATAGTGGTAGTAGGGGGAACAGTCCCCATATTTGGTCGATAGGGACTAGGGGTTGGTCGGGCACCCAGATATGCCTGACATGGGGTAGGTTGAACACCCCGGTATGCTCAACAGGGTAGACCGGGCACTCGGATATGTATGGTATGGGGTAGGTCAGGCACCTCGGTATGCTTGACAGTGTGTGATTGTATGGTGCGAGGTAAGATGGGGGAACTCACTAAGCTTCAAGGGGAAAGGAGTTGGCTCGGTAGCAGTGCATCACACACACACATGATTCTGCATTATAAGACTCTTGGGATTGTACTATGACATTATTACTCTATGACATATTTTGAGATTTGTGACTTATGGATTTTATGATAAGACATAATATGGATATTGTTTTCAGTAAACCGTTTTATAAATTATTAAATTAAAAATGAAATTTTTGGTCATGAGTTTTGGGATGTTACATTTAATTTCTCTATAATTGTTGTCTAGAAGTATTTCTAGAAGGTGGTCCTTTCTACATTTCCCGCTTTTCATTTCGCTCACACATTTATCAGCAATACCCCTTAGAGCATCTAGAATGCATAGTTTAATGAGAGAGTTGAATGAGGTGGCATGCTTAAATGAAATTCAATGGATTAAACTCTACCATTGTGGGATGTCATGTTTGCATTCAATGGATATGAAGTTCATTGGCCATTTAACTCCTCAATGGGGAAAAGAAAATCTTTTAACTATTAAATACATATTCCATTGAACTCTATTGAATTCAATGCATTGTAGGAAAAGTGATGTAGAGTTATATAGTAAGTAAAACGATGATGTGTCAATCCATTAAACTCTAATAAGTTTAATGCATTGTGGATGCCCTTACCGAACCCTTTACTTCTTTGTCAATTGCTTTAATCATCTTGTTGGTTTTTGTTGGCAAAAATCTATAATCAAAATTAAAATTAGTTATTTAATTTTCAAGTAATTAATGAAAGGAAGTTTTCTAATGACATGAAGAATGTCCACAAAAGATTGTTGGATAGATGTACTCATTGTGACCATGGAATGTAGATAGATCGGGAAGCCGCTATAACTAGCTCAACAATTCTCGTTGAAGTTCAAATACCTTTCATCCTTTCACCAAACTACTACAAAAAGTTGTACGTGAAATCACATCACTAGTCATTGTTGTGAGATGAGGCCACACATCCATTTCACAAGAGTTTTCTTCCTTTAATGTCTATTCACATTTTTTGACTATCTCATAACTCACATAAATATAGGACACAATATGCTATAAAGAAACATGATCAAGAGAATATTTACAAAACTAAACTTCAAAGCGTAGTCACTATCTTTAGGAAAGTAAGATTTTTGGTATTCGACACCATAAATTTCTTCATCTCGACTTCTATATATGGATTCGAAAAGAAGCAAAGCCTTAAGTTTCTCGACATGAGAGGTAGGATTGATGATCTTCATGTGTTTCACCCATTGATGAACCTCGACTAACACCAATCCTTTTGCTATAGCAACGTTAACAACATATCTGGCCCTTTTGCCTTTTGGTAGTCTTCATATTTTCCCAACATCTCCCGTATCATTGTTGGATCCGTTATATGCAATATAGGTTTTGGCCCCATCCATGTAATGCAATTCTTACCTGTCCAATCACAAACCAAATTGTAATGTAAAGTGAAATACAACTTCAAAATAGAACTTATAACTAATATATAAAAAATCCTAAAGTCATACATCAAACATTAGAATTTTTGTCGGTCATCAACTAATACTTATTTTGAAATGTACCAACTAAAACACAGTTGTTATAATTTTGAGCATAAGAAGTTTAAAAGCAACCCCACAATCGGTCTATATATCAAAAAGATCATACATAAAGAATATGATTATGCCCTACGTTGGAGCCTGAAAAATGGTTTCTCACATTCTTACTGCAAAAACAACCAAACATGGAGCAATTGAAAATTTTCAACTGGAGGATTGGTTGTTTCAACTTTGTTTGCATAGCCTCCTTCCATGCTTTAGAGGTTACCGCCTCTTTAAAATTAAAGGGTTGATTCGCTGCAATCATCAACAGTTCTCCAGGTTCAAGGAACACATTTTCGGCTTTAGAATAAATATTTGTTAACGTACGTAATCCCCTTAGCCCAATCTCACTAGAAGGGCTTTCCATATGGGGTGAGCTGAAGAAAACGGGGGAGAGATAAGAGTGTGTGGGGATGATTCAGGCTCGTTAAATTTAGCATATGGTTGTCTAACTTAGATAGCATCGATTTCGGGGCTGTCTGGTTGTTCTGGGTTGACTTCGGGGTTATTTGGAGGTGTTCCGAGGTGTATTTGGGATTGTGGTTCAATTATGGTAAAGGTCTTAGGAGTCTCCATCTCCTAATCTTTGTTTTTGTACCAATTCTATTCTTCTTTTTCGTCAAAAACATCATCGTGACTAACTCACAACTATCGTTCTTGCGGATCAAACAAACGGTTGCCTTTAGTTCCATCTTCCACACCTAAATACACCATCTTTTTACTTCGATCTTCAAGCTTCTTCAAGTGACCACCTACAAATTTAGCAAAAGCAGCACAACCAAAAACTTTTAGATGTTAAAGGTTGGGCTATTTGCCAAACCATGCTTCGTAAGGTGTCATGTTAGGACGTGCTTTTGTTGGCAGACGGTTGAGAAGATAAACTGCATGTCTAACCGCTTCTCCCCAAAACTCTCCCGGGACATTTCTTCCTTTGAGCATACTTCTTGCCATGTCCATAACGGTCCGATTTCTCCTTTCTACAACTCGTTCTGTTGAGGCGAATATGGTGTCGTAAGATGCCTTTGAATACCATTTTCTACACAAAATACTGAGAATTCTTTTGAAGTGAACTCTCTTCCACGATCCGTTCGACGTGTCTTCATTTGATGACCCGAATACTCTTCAACCATCAACTTGTGCTATTTGAAAGCGCTCAAGGCTTGAGACTTCTCCGATAGCATGTAAACCCACATCCACCGGCTAAAATCGTCTACTAAAGGAGAAAATATTTACTCCCTCAATAGACGTAAGTTTGATCGGACCACATAAGTCTGCATGAACAAGTTGTAGAGGTTTTTGATCCTGGAAAACTGTGTGATCCGGAAAAGGAATTTGGGTTTGTTTTGAAAGAACGCACCCTTCACATACTTGGTTTGGGTGCTCTATCTTTGGGACTCCGGTTGCCATATTCTTTTCAAACAACTTCTTTAAGGAGAGAAAGTGAGCGTGACTGAGTCTAGAATGCCATATCCAAGTTGGTTCGTCTTTTGTTTCTAAAAGAGAAGTCGGTGTACCAATCCTTAAAGGAGTTTTGTATAACCGATTTGGGGATCGTTTAACTCTCAAAAGTAGAGTTTTGTTTCTGTAAAACAATGTCAGATCCAACTCATCCATTATGACTCGACTCCCTTCCTCTGTTATTTGACCAAGACTAATAACATTGTTTTTTAGACTTAGAATAAATATACCTCTAAGGAGTCTTTTGTCGCCATTTTTGCTATCGAATAAAACGACCCTTTTCCCAAAATAGCGATGGTCGAACCATCCCCAAACTTCACGTGACCCGTAACATGCTCATCTAACTTTGAGCGGTCTCTAGTCTTATGATTGCTAGCACCGTTTTCGAGATACCATACCTCAGACTCGACTCGACTTTCTCCCGATGAAAGAAGATTAACACAAACCTTCTCTTTTAGAGACACCTTTTTGTGTGCATATTCTTATGAGACTGCCATCATCAAAATAGGCTCTTCTTCATTGGTATGAGTGAGGTTTGCCTCCTCACCTCGATTCTTGTTTGGACACTCCGAAGCATAATGACCAAATTTTTCACAAGTAAAACGTTTGATTTTACTTTTATCCTTTCGAGAAGGATTATGGTCATTTCAATTTTTATTGTACTCGCGACCACCTCCTTGGCCACGTCCACGACCTCGGCCTCGTCCTTGTCCTCGGTTACCATGTCCTCCCCATCCTCTTGAAGTGTTTGACGAGTTTCTCTCGTCATTTTGCTTCGAACGAGATGCCCAATCAACATGTGTAAGAAATGGAGAAGGTCCTCCTTCTTTTTCTCCATAGCTTCGAAGTCTCTCTTTATAGGTATTAAGACGACCCAGAACTTCTTCCACCGTTATATTCTTCAAATCTCCGAATTGCTCGATAAATGTTACGATTTGTATATATTGTATCGGTACGGCTCGCAAAAACTTCTTCACAACCATAATTTATTCAATCTTTTGATCTAGAGATCGAATACCGGCTACGATAGTATTCAATCTCACGGAAAAATCATCTACCGATTCACTATCTTCCATTCGGATCACCTCGAAGACACTTCTCAAGGTTTGAGCTTTAGCGTCATTGACGCGATCGACTCTCATGTGCATCATCTTAAGCGTTTCCCATGCTTCTTTGGTTGTGTCCTTCTCAGCTAACATCAGAAATACGTCCTCTGGAATTGCTTGATAAATAACCACAAGAGCCATCCGATCTTTACGTTCGTCCGTTTCTTCATTTTTAATTACATCTCACACTTCTTGTGCTTGTAAATTCACTCGAATTTTTATGGCCCACACTGTGTAGTTCATCTTCGCGGGCATTGGATAGTGTAACGTAACACTACCGTCTTTCCCAGTCCTTTGAATACTTTCAACTTCGGGTTGAGAACATGACGATGTTAGTGTAGTCATTCTTGGCATATACTTGGGCATACACGAACTTGAACTTTTTTTTTTAAATACGGGGATAATTATGAATTTTTCAGAAGTTCAAGGGGCAAACAAAACTTTTATGGAAGTAAAAAGGGGCTAAAACGAATTTTTTTTGAAAAACCGGACCAAAATTGCAATTTTTCTAAAAGATAGGGGTTAAATTGCACTTTTCGAAAGAGCAGGGGCTAATTTGTAATTTTCTGAACTTCCTACAGTACTGTACTGCTACAGTATTGCTGACGTCACTGATGACGTCACTACTACAGTGTCGTCTTCTTCGACGGTTTTCTCCGGCAGACTGGTTTTTCGGTGAGTTTGACCAACTTTGACCGGTGATTTGGAGGCCTTCCGGTGGTCAAAAAATTCAAAATATATATTTCGGATTCCTCAGAACGAGACCTTTCCAATGGTGTACTCCGAAATTGTTTTTGAGACAAAAAAAATTTCGACCAAAAAACAGAGAATGCTTCCCCGGAGCTTAACCAAGCTCTGATACCACTTGTTGGGGGTTGAAACAAACTTTTATTCATAACTAGAAAAAAAGAGAAAAACTTACATGCTCAATATTACAAGGAAAAAGAAACAACCCTCTAATACTCACTCTACTCTAAGTATTACACACTACACTCTTTGTTTTGTGGTGTTCTACAATTGAGGTTAGAACATCTATTTATACTAAAGGAGCCTACCAAAGTTATTGTAGTTATTTATTGTGTTCACCGTATAAAATGAAGAAGCTGCCATTTCTTGTTGTCAACATAGGTGGTGGTGCAGTTACTCATGTTAGGTTCACACACCTAAGTAGGTTTACACTCACACTTATTGCCAATTTAAACTCATTCAACATGAAAACTTGTTAGCTGAAGCTCCATTTACCGCCACAGTTGGTGATATGCCATGACTCCATGAGTCTTGTTTAGAACAGTTTGCCATGCTTTCTGATTCTGGGTTGGAGAAAAGTCATTGAACAGTTTATTCTTGATTTGAGCACTGTAAAACCCAATTGTTTTGCCGATCCAAGATAGACCCATTTGACTGGAAGGTAGTTTGATCTTTTTCCGCTGGTTGTAGGTTTTATGAAGGACAATGGTGGTAAGAGAGAGAAGATAAAGCCTATCGTTGATGTTGTTTGGTTTATAAGACGTTAGGTTTATATAGAGATTTGAGTCAACTAATTGTTTATATAAAAGTAGCTGTGTTTTGACTTTTGAGGGTGGCAGATGAAATCTGAAGTCTAGCCGACTAAAAGATTCATGTTATAACTTATAAGCATCATGTGCTCCTTGACTTGGGGAAAATACAAATACTCTATTCTATTTCAATTCCTTCGGCGTGTTTTTTCTTAAACAATTTATAGTCAAACATGTTCAGACATGAATACATGCATAACATTTTTAATCTAAAGTCTAACTTTAAGCTATATCATAGGGTTTATGATTAAAGGAAAGTAGTCGCTTATAGTTGTAGTTGAATGAGTTCACTAAAGTTTTTTTTTTTAAGAATCCAATTCCATCGTCATGTACTCATGTGTCTTGAACGCGTCTTCAAATTTTATTATGGGGCTACGAGGTTCTATCTTGTTGGTAATAAGAGGATCTTGAGATTTGATATGGATTTTGTTCCTTTTATAATTGTGTTGATATTTTTCCCAACTACTAGTGGTCCTCGGAAAAGATCACAACCCATTTTCTGGAAGATGTAAATGTAACCATCATAATTTACTCACTATTTAGAGGTGATAATCATGTCGTGTTCAGTCGTAGTGGACATATAGGGGGCTTTCTGGGTGGCAGGTGCAACTCCTCAAATATTAAAAAACAATGTAATATTTTTCTGCGTAATGTGAATTTTCCGGCATATCAACCTTAAATTTTCACATAAAAACTTTGAGCGGGAAAGTTAGCTAGGAGCTTGTTTTAGGAGAGTGGTTTTATTAGGATAGGATATGAAATCTAATGGTTCACAATTATCGACTAGACTTTATAAGTGAAATTAATTGTCATCCACTACAAACATGCCAAAAGGATGTACCCTTCCCATGACCATTTGATATTCGTTGTTCACTCCTATTGTGCAAGTCCTTCATCGATTTAACTATATATTTTTCAACATACAAGAATGATATGTTTTCCCTCTTCAACCTCAAAGCTGAGATGCCCTGGTTGCCAAAAAGAAACATAAAATTTTACAAATTTGCGTCATCTCGTCTGAATTAAACAATGAAATAAATCAGAAAGAATGTTAATTATGACAGAGCAAGGTTTACAAAGAGGTAGAGAGAAGAGCTAGTCAATTATCAGACTTGCGAGATATTTTTATAGGCATCCCCTTAGAAGGATATGGGAGTGGATCCATGAATATTGGCTCCTCAGGGTCTAACAACGACCAGTTATATTGTGTTACAACATAATGCACCAAAACAAGAATATTGAGCTTC